TGAAAAGTTTCAAAGAGCATTTTTATGCGACTTTTGTCAGATGTGCACTGATTTCCTTGTGGTATGTAGTGAAATTGAGATTTTTTTTGGCTGTAATAGATACTGCCAAATTATTCTGTAAAGTGTTACCTGTAGTTTTAGCTATATATGAGAGTTCTAATCTATCTCCATTCTTTTATCACATATCTGTTTAAATTTTAGTCATTTCTTGTTTATGTGTGGTTATGTATCAGTGTAGTTTTAATTTGCAGTTACCTGATGGATAATGTTGTAAAACATCTTTCTGTATTTATTAGCCATTTCAATATCCATTTTATAATATTATATTACATTTATGTTTGTGAATATGTGTGGGCATACATGTGGAAGTCGTAGAGCTTGGAATTGGTTTTCCTGTCCCTCAGGAGTCCCAGGGGTCAAACTAAGTTGTCATGCTTGACAGCAAGTGCATTTTACCCATGAATCATCTCACTGACCCCAGATAGATACTTCTATTTATGAAGTAATCCCTGAAGTCATTTCTCCATTCTTAAAGTTTGGTTACGTCTATTAATTGTTAATCTTTAAATATTTTTGTAATAGTCTTTTGTTATATGTATTTCTGTCACTGTTTGAGTGACCTTTTCTCTCTAAAAGAGATTTCTTTTGGCAAACAAGTTTTCATTATACCTTTGCAAAGTTTAGGTAAATGTAACTTCAGAGTTGCTTGTCTCACTGTACAATAAGTTGAATGTACCTTTAATTCTTCACCAAGAACCTCAGAAAAGCATTAACTCTGGCATTCTAAGTAGGAAATTCAGCACAAAAAGTGTAGTGTACCTTTGGTTTACAGTGTACAGAGCTCAAGTTGACAGGCAAATAAGTTCCTAGTCTTATTGAAATGTAAAAGTGAAATGATTTGTCAGGTTTTGGCACTTAATAATGTTAAATAGAGAAATGTTAAGATTACTGATAAGTATCTAAAACTTTTAAAATGCTATTCAAATGTAAATATAACTATAGATAGTTTGAAGGAGGGAAGACGCATGGGAGAGTGTTAGAGGGGCCTGAATGAGACAGATTTTGTAGGGACAGGTAAGTCACTGGATCACCTTTTGCCATCTTCCAGCCTTTAATTTAAATTTGATTATAAAAATCAACATTTGCTGAGCTCATAGAGATCTGCTGGGCTGTGCCTCCCAAGTGCCCGGCTTTAGTCTTTGATTTCTCATCCCTACTTTTCCACCCTTAAACTTCATTGTATGCATATTTTTATGTAACCTGTTTCAAGTTATTTCTGGAAAAATGTGTTAAAATTGCTTCTCTCTGGAATAATAAAAATATTCTTAAAAAAATTAACATTTGCTGTTACTATCAATAATCAAAATGATATTGTAACCATCCTTGAGTTCTTTTCTGTTTTGAGGCAAGGTCTCATGTATCCCAAACAGGCTTCAAAATTTCTCTGTAACTGACCATGAGCTTGAACTTCTGACCCTTCTAGCTTTATTCAGAATGCAACCATTACCTATTCTGCTACCATTCCAATCCAAACTACCATCATCTCTTACCGGGAATGTTGTCATAGTCTCCTAACCAATCTCCCAGTTCCCAGTTACAAATCTGTTTCAAAGCCAGGCATGGTGACCCACACCTTTAATCCCAGCACTCAGGGGGCAGAGGCACATAGATCTAGAGATCCGAGGGTGGCCTGGTCTCCAAAGTGAGTTTCAGGCTAGCTAGGGTTACAGGGAGACCCTCTCTGTTAAAACAAAAACAAGAACAAAAAGTCTGTTTTAAAACCTAACAGTTGGGGATTGGTGAAATGGTTCAACAGGTGGAGGCACTTGCATGTAGGCTTAATAATTTGAGTTTGATCCCCGAAGACTCTTAAGAATGGTCCTATAACCCTCATGCTTACACTGTGTGAAAACACACACACACACACACACACACACACACACACACACACACACACACACACACACAATCACAATCACTCTTCTGCCCAGATCACTCACATAACCAAATAATTCTAATAAAGGCAAAAGGTCATACAGTGACTTACCTGTCTCTGGAACTGGAGTTACAGATAGTTGTTAGCTCCAGGTGGGTCCTGGGAACTGAACGCAGGTCCTCTGCAAGAGCAGTTAGTGCTGTTATCCTCTGAGGCATCTAGGATGGAAGGTGATGGGAGTTGTATGGTAATTCTGTGTTTTTAAGGAACTGCCAAATACAGTAATAATTTTAGACCTTGCCTTCAACATTTGTTAATATGAAGGTTTGTTCATTTAAAAAAAAATCTATCAAACACTTTCTGTACTGCAGGCATTACAGGATATTTCATGGAGCTTATTGTTTAGAAATAAGCAGGAATATAGATATTAAAAAAAGATTAGGGGTTAGAGAGATGGCTCAGCTGCTAAGAGCACTGACTGCTCTTCTAGAGGACCTGGATTAGATTCCCAGAACCCATATGGTGGCTAACAACTGTCTGTAACTCCAGTTCCAGGAGATTCCGACACCCTCTTCTGACCTCTGCGGGGTTTGCATGGCATGGATACATGCAGGCAGATATACACATAAAAAATTTAAAAGTAAAATATTAAAACCGCTGGGCGTGATGGCTCATGGCTTTATTCCCAGCACTTGGGAGGCAGAGGCAGATGGATCTCTGAGTTCAAGGCCAGCCTGGTCTACATAGTGAGTTCCAGGACAGATGGGGCTACAGGGAGACCCTGTCTCAAAAAGACCAAAAGAAAAGAAAATTAAAACCATATTAAACAGATAATTGTCTAATTAAAATTATAATATAGTCTCTCATGTTTGTGTTTGTGCTTGTTTTCGAGAGAGCTTATACAAGTGTCACAATGCACAGGTGGAAGGCAAAGAACAGTGCTTGGTGTCACTTCTGTGCTTCTATCTACCATTTGAGTTTTGAGACTCCAGTCCAGATTGTCAAACTTGGTGGCAAGTGCCTGTACCTGCTGAGCCATACTGTAGCCCAAATTATGGTAAAGTTATACAGAATGTGTTCAGTGCCTAGTCAGGTGTCAGAAGGTGGAGGCAGGAAGATCAGACATTCAGTCATTTTTTGCTACATACCAAGTTTGAAGCCAGGGCTATATGAGAGTGTTTCATAAAACAAAGAGTAACTAAGAAGGTGACTCATTTGGTAAAGTGCTTATCCTACAAGCATCAAGACCTGAGTTTGGACTTCCCAACTTTACATAAAAAGCTAACTCAGCTGCATGTCACCTGTAATGTACTTCCTCCTAGCCCTAGGGAGGCAGAGACAGAAGAATCTCTGGGGCTTGGTGGCCAACTATTCTTGATGAACTGGTGAGATCTAGATTTAGTGAAAGACCCTGTCTGAAAAAATAAGGTGGAGAGTGATGGAGGAGGACACTTGATGCCAGTCTCTGCTCTCAACACACATATACACACCCTCGTGCTCTCATGAACCCACACATCATTGTACACAAGTATATAACACACACAGAAGTAAAAATAAATTGAAAATTAAAATGACAAAAACCCAAAATCAATGACCAAAAATGTACATTGCCTGAAAGGAAGCCTACATTACATCTAGACTGATATTGTGAATTTTCAGAAAAGGCTTCTTAATATGTTTTAGCTGATTGGAGTAATAAAATAATACAGAACTTAATACATAGTGAGTGTATACTATTTACCAGACACTGTTCTAGTTTCACAAATCTTTTATTGTTTTGCAAATTAGTAACCTGAGAACAGAGAGATCAAAGTGCTTATTACTCTTCATAGCTAATTGTTATGAAGCCAGTATTCAAGTGTAGGCTGTTCCACCTCAGATCCCCACCATGACACTTTTCCTCTTTCTCTTCCACACAGGAAGTCTTAATGCAGTACTCCTTTTGAGAAAGCATAGTATTTTAATACTTTTGAGGAAATGTATGAATGTGATTGTGAGTTAGACATGGTGGCTCATGTCTATAATCTGAGTACTTAGAAGACAGAGGCAAGAGGATCACTGCAAGTTTCAGACCAGCTTGATCTGTGTATTTCTTACCAAGCCAACCTAGGTTATAGAGGAAGACCCTGTCCCCCTCACTCATATATGGTTGTAACAGGAGTACACTGAAAGTGCCATAGGGCAGACTAGGGTCTTATGGAAGGACAGTGGGAGGAGGTGAAGCTCAAGAGTTAAATGAAATTAGAGCGTACCAGAAGTGTCTGATTCAAGGGTTGGACTTTGTGCAAGTTCAGAATAGTTATTTCTAGCTTTGTCCGTTGCCTACTACCACTTGCTTTAACATCACTTTATTTTTTAGTGGTAGGGATTGAGCCCATGATCTCACATATGCTAGACCACCAAGTCCTACCACAGCTACATTCACAGCCCTTACACCACTTTCTCAAAACACATTCAGAAAGGTGTTTCCCATAAAACTAATGAGACTTTAGCTTCAGGGTGCCTCACTTTCCTTCCTTTGTGAGTTATAGAAATTGTGGAATAGTGTTCAGGGTGCACAGAGGAAACCAGGTTGCTATCAGTAAGTTTTTCCATTAAATTGCCAAGAACTCTCAGATGTAGGCAGCCCTCAAACTTATTAAATACATTTTAGTTTAGTTAGATTTGGATCCATTCTTTAAGATTTCTATTGACAGTACCTGTTTCTTTTCACACAATGGTTTGGTTGGGGTTCTAAAGGTGGAGGAGCATTGCTGATAGAAAATTCTGTTCAGCACCTAAACTTGGCAGCAGTTAAGTATTGAGGCTGCAATATAAACTGGGCAAAAGTAGAATATTTAGAATGTAAGAAATGAGGAAACTGTCTACCCAAATCAAACTACAAAAACATCGACATTTATTGTTATGATTAGTAGGTTGTTTTGCTGGTAGCCTATGTGCATTTCAGTATTTCCAAGTTAGAATGGTTTCTATGCATAGCATAAAGAATATTTGAAATTGAATTTTATACATATATGAAATACTCTTGGCTGAAAGCTTAACCTATTTTTGCTCTTGGTTTCAGGCGCCTCATCACAGATTCAAAAGTTAAATTAAAATATCAGCATTTAATAACAAATAGCTTTGTAGAGGTAAGTTACTTAGCTTGTCTATATTTTTTATTATTAGAAATGCTAGTTTTTATATTATTGTGTGTGCGCTCATGTGTGTGTGTGTGTGTGTGTGTGTGTGTGTGTGTGTGTCTGTGTCTGTGTCTGTGTCTGTCTTTGTGAGTGAAAGTCATGTTTGTGTGTCTGGGGGGTGCTTATGGAGGCCAGAAGAGGGTGTCAGATCTCTTGGAGTTCCAATTACAGGAGTTTTGAGCCACAGTGTATGGATGCTAGGAACCAAACTCAGGTTCTTTGGAAAAGCACCACATGTTCTTGACCTTTGAGTTATCTCTCTATCCCCAAAAATACTTGTTTTTAAAATAGCAGGAAAAACTGCTTCTATTATTTATGAAACATACTAAAAACTACCTTGAACTTTGATGATGAAATGAATTTTCACAAAGTTTTTCTTTATAGTATGTTAGTAAACATGTCATGCTTAATCATGTTTAATATCCTAACCTGGCCATGTCTCTGATTGTTTCTAATGTTTCATTACTGATACAGAATACCGTAGTTACTGAATACATTTCTCTCTTAGAAAAGAGATCAGTAAATTACAGTTTGTCCATTTACCTGTGCCCATTCTTAGTAACATTGTGCTGCAGTAGTAGAATTAAGTATTGGTTACAGAGAACACTATAGATTCCAAAACAGTAATATTTACTCTAGGCTTTGTTTTGTTTTGTTTCTTTTCTCTTTTTAAAGAGACAGGTCTCCTTGTAGCCCCAGTTGGCCTAGAATTGGCAATGTAGGCCAGGCTGGCCTTGATCTCATAGAGATCTGCTCGCCTCTGCCTCTGCCTCCCGAGTGCCGGGATTAAAGGTGTGGCCACTAAGCCTGGCTACAACCAGTGCTTTTAACTACTGAGACATCTCTCCAGCCTCTTATTATAATCTTGAGAAAATAATATACTCAAAAGCATTGACGATGAAAACTACAGCAGATTTTATTTATTTACATGGTTGTCTCATCCACCTTTGACCTGTACTAGGTAGCTTACAAAATTTTGCGTAATTAAATTTGCAATATTTTTGTTTATTTGTTCCTTGCATTTCAGAAAGTTTATTGTGTATGTGTTTGTGTGTGCATATGGGCATGCTTGTGCCATGGCACATGTGTGGGAGTTGGTTCCCTCCTACCACCATGTGGGTCCTGGAGACTGAGCTCAGATCAGCAGCCTTCTTGGTAAGAATCTTTAACGAACAAATGAGCCAGGTCCCTGTGGAATGGAGCTCCCTGCAGATGGCCCAGGGTAACAGCATCCTTGAGGTGTACTTTGGTATGACCCTGCATCCTTCCTAGTTTCCAAATTTGCTATATTTTTAAATTTATATTTCAGTGCAACCGACTATTAAAGTGGTGTCCTGCCCCAGATTGTCACCATGTTGTTAAAGTTCAATATCCTGATGCTAAACCTGTTCGCTGTAAATGTGGTCGCCAATTTTGGTAAGTAAGTGGTTTCGTAAGTGAGCGAAGGATGTATTGGTTTTCAATTTTTCATTTATTCTTAATAGTGAAATTGGGGAAGAGCTTCATACTGGGGCGTAAGTGATGATAGTTTAAAATGGTGCATAATTTTTAAATTAAGATTGAATAAAAATCTAAAATGATTTTTCTTTTCTGTGATGTTTTATCCTTTGAAGGTGTGTATGAGGGTGGGGTGGGGGAGTGAGACAGTCTTAGTTCAATCTTATGTTCATCCTTTGCCTCAGTCTCACCATATCTGCTGAATTTATTTTTCATGGGAGAAAAGTTTAGCTGTAATCATAATTTCCTTTGTACTGCAACGTAATAAAACTAGATTTAGAAATCTTGATTGTTTTTTTTTGAGTCTTTTTGAGTCTTTGAGGCAGAGTCTCCCTGTAGCCCCAGCTGGCCTGAACTCACTGTGTAGACCAGGCTGGCCTTGAACTCAAAGAGATCTGCCTGCCTCTGTCTCCCAAGTGCTGGGACTAAAGGCGGGTGCTATTAACCTGGCTTGCTTTTTTTTTTTCCTTTTAACTTTTATAAAAACTAAAACATTTGTGTGTGGTGGGGAGAAATGCATGCCATGGCATGCTTTTGGAGGTCAGAGGACTAATTAAAGAAGTCTGCCATGTGGGTCGTGGGGGTCAATTCCAGTCAAAGTTTAGTGACAAGCCCCTTTATTCACTGAGCCATCTGGGGAGCATAGATTGTTACATTGTCACATGGTATTTAATTCCATATAGCTTTCTCTATTTTTATATTGTCACAGAAAGTATTTCCTTTATTTGAACAAGTTTTTCATAGCTTTTGTGTTTCATTCCTCCTTTTCAAATACGGCCTGAAACATTCACAATTATTCTGAGTTCCAGGATTACAGACATGGACTCCCATGCCCATTTTTTGTTTTTAATACACTGGGCTATACCATTTCTACAGGGCTGAGTATAATCTATTTAGTATTGTAGGGATGTTACCTATTTGCTCCTCATACGTTGTTTACTGTGAATTACTGTGTTTACTCCTCATACATGTGAAACTGAATTAACCTACAGTCAGACTTTTGCTCTTCAGTTGGAATTCTAAATGACAGTAGAATGTATTGATGAAGTGGTTAGTTGAAGCTTCTCAGTACAATCTGAGTGAGACATTCTATCAGCAATTACTGTTAGTTGTTGCATGCATGTCTGTGCTTTCAGTCATTATCCTTTCACACATTGAAAGCCTATTACATGCTGATCTTATCCTCACTAACTTCTAGGTTATCCATTGAGAAATAAACGCAGTCTCTGCCCTTATAATTCCATTTGTTTAGAACTGCTGAAGATATGTACTGAAAAAATGTAAAGCATGAAATGGTTAGTTTACTTACAGGAGGTAGGATGTAATTTTAATTCTTTGTATATTTAACAGCTTTAACTGTGGAGAAAATTGGCATGATCCTGTTAAATGTAAGGTGAGTTTGGCATTGGCGTTTCCTATTTTATTTATTTATTTATTTTTGGTCTTTTTGAGACAGGGTCTCCCTGTAGCCCCAGTTGGCCTGGAACTCACTGTGTAGACCAGGCAGGCCTTGAACTCAACGGAGATCCGCCTGCCTCTGCCCCCCAAGTGCTGGGACTACAGGCAGGTGTGTGTGCCACCATGCCCGGCTGACATTTTCATTTTCAAATAATGGGATTATATATTTCTAAGACTTGAATGATGGTAACAGCTGATGACTTCCTACAAGTAAATTGTTCCCGCCTTTTTTCCTTTCACGTGTTTGTTGTAGGTATTCACAGGCATTCCTTAGAATGTCAGCTCCTGATTGTTATTGTCATGGCAGTGGCAATTCTTGTCAGGTTTTGTTATTGGGGGAATAACACATATTCTAACTTGACTGACAAGCTCCAGGCTCTCCATTCAACTTTAACCAGAGAAAAATCCTTCTTTAGTTGATCTTAAATAGACTAGATATTAATAGCTCCAAAATTTTAAGTGCTAAATTAATTTGCTATCTTTTTTTTTTTTTTTTGTCTTTTTGAGACAGGGTCTCCTTGTAGCTCCAGTTGTCCTGGAACTTGCTATGTAGACCAGGCTGGCCTCGAAGTCAAAAAGATCTGCTTGCCTCTGCCTCCGGAGTGCTGGGATTAAAGGCGTGCGCCACCATGCCCTGCTTAATTTGCTATCCTTTTTAAACCTTTTGTTTAATATACTCTAATAGTTGTTGTTTTTAAACAGTGGTTAAAGAAGTGGATTAAAAAGTGTGATGATGACAGTGAAACTTCTAATTGGATTGCAGCCAATACAAAGGTTGGTGTTTTTTTAGTAACTTCATAAAAATGGATCAGGATTAGCCCAATATACTTTTCTTTTATTATTTTTAATTTGTATGTATGTATATGCTTGAACACAGACCAAATGACAACTTGCAGGAGTCAGCTTTTGCCTTCCGTGGTGTTTCCATGGGTTAAACACTGTTAGGCTTGGAGGCAAGGACCTTTAGCCAGTGAGCCATTTTGCTGGCCCTTGTCTACTGTTCATTTCTAGTTTAAATTTTGGAGTTTTACTTTTTAGCAGTCAATCTTTAGGGGGCAGGGTTTGAGCAGGGTAACTCATAAGCTATAACATTTTTATTATGTAAAGTAAGCTCAGCAAAACAATTTCCCTGAATCTCCTTCATGTTAAACATTTCAAATGACTTGCGAGTTGATTGAGAAAATTGAAATTTTAGAATAATATGTGTAACCCTTGTTTTTTTGTTTTGAAGTATATTATTTATGATACTAGCTGTGCAATTCAGTCTCTTTGGGGCTGTGGGTATAGGTCAGTTGCATGCACAAAACCCTGGACTTGATCCCTAGCACCTTTTAAAGTGGGTGTGGTAACACTACCTGTAATCTGAGCTCTAGAGAAATGAAGGCAAGATCAGTAGTACAACACCAGCATGAGCTACAGGAGACTTCTGTTTGAAAAAGTAAAAATAAGGACTAGAAAAATGGTAGGTAAGAATGCTTGAGTTCAGATCCTAGTTACAGTGTACAATCCAGGGGCGGCCATGTGTATCTGTAACCCCAGTGCTGGAGTACAGAGACAGGCAGATTCCCTGGAGCTTGATGGCAGTCAAATAAACTGTAATGAGGAACTTCAGGTTTAGTGAGGAACCCTGACTTAGGATTAAAGCAGAGAATGCTAGAGCAGGGTATCTGACATTCTTCTTTGGCCTCTGCACACAGCCCCAAATCTTTTTTTAAAATATTTTATTTATTATAATTTATTTTATTTTATGTGTATGCGTGTATTGCCTGCATGTAGATAAGTGTACCCGGCAGAGGACAGAAGAGTCTTTCAGATCCCCTGGAACTGGAGTAATGGACAGTTGTTCGCTGCCATATGGGTGTTGGGATTTGAACTCCGGTCTTCTGCAAGAACAGCCAGCGTTCTTACCCCTTGAGCCATCTCTCCAGCCCACCCCCACACTCCCAAATCTTAAAAAAAAAATCAAAAAAAAAAAAAAAAAAAAGATTTTAAAAAAAAAAAAAAAAAAAAAAAAAAAAAAAAGGATTTAGGTTAATAAAAATAAAGTGTTCGATTCAGTGTGAATTTACCAGTCAAGCCTGATTTCCTTTATCTCTGGATGCAAGATTGCTTTTATGGATCCTATGTGATGCAGAGTTGTTTCTTTGTTCTTTTTGTGTCCCATAATTCATTCATCTGACAAATAGGAATAAAATGGCACCACTGCAAAGATTGTTGATTGATGATAGAGATAAGGCACTGAGAACAGTGCATGGGCTAGGAAGTGCTTTGTAACTGTACAGCCAGACAACACTGGAAGAGTGTCATCCATAAAACTCTGTGTGATTGAAACTACTTAGAGTATTTTCATTTCTCAACCTGACTTTAGAAAATCTTTGCATTGTTGTGTAATTCTAAAGTCCAGTAATAATGATCCAACTCATTTTTACTGGTGTTTATTAAATGCTTAAGCACTGTTTTAAGTGCTTTACATGTAGTAACTTTAATAAATAAATGACATCTAGAACTGGCTTCTCCTCAGTGATAGTAATACAACTTAGTGTAGCATTGACACCAACTTTATAGTTTTTTTTCATAGGAATGTCCCAAATGCCATGTCACAATTGAGAAGGATGGTGGTTGTAATCACATGGTCTGTCGTAACCAGAACTGTAAAGCTGAGTTTTGCTGGGTATGTCTTGGCCCTTGGGAACCACATGGATCTGCCTGGTAGGTTGGAGAAATGGAAGAATATGTTCACTTAAGTATGTGATGTGTACCACGTATTATGAGTAGTATTTCTACTGTGACATGATTATCACCTGACTTGAGCTAAATATACAAAAATGAGGATGTCATCAGATGATCAGAGAAGTGTGTAGGATATCCCCAGAGAGGCATTAGGTAGTCATTTTTCTCATATGAGTTAACAGTTGGAGATGAATTTTTTAACTAAGATTTCTTAGTTGGAAAAAAAAAAAGTTGGAAATATAGCAGGAGTAGAACAAAGGTAGAGTAATGTGAAAAGTGCAGGTTTTTTTCAGTTACATTGCTTCGTATTTCCCCTAGGCAAAAGCTGTAAACTAGAGTTTCTTGACAAAAATTCAACCTGTGTGTTTCCCTTACCCTAGACATCATTTCACACATTTTTGCCCCAAACTTATAAAACTGGGAATCTACTAAACAGGTCTGTGTTTTGGCTTTCCTGTTTCTCAGGAATCACCTAGACGTGGGTAGTAGTCCATCAGGTGGGTCATTATTGTTCGATGTTGTAGGTTTCCCCAAGAAGGAGGGTTAATGATAGCTACATGTGCAGTTTTCCTTTGGCATCCTTTGGAGATTGCGTTCACAACCCAGTGTGGATACCAAAATTTGGGCAGGCCATTATGTACAATAGCGTAGCATTTTCATATAGGCTAGATTACTTATATCTAGTACAAAATAACTGCTGTGTAAACAAAATGACAAGGCAAAAGAAATCTTTGTGTTCAGTATAGATGGAGTTTTCTTTAGATATTTTTACTCCAAGATAGGTTGTTTCCATTAATGTATAACCTTTGAATGCAGAAGACTAGCTGTAATACATGGCATTGTTGCTTTTCATATAACACTGATAAACCTTTGTTGTATTCATATTTCTTATTTGGGAACATTCAAGGTAAACTGTTGATGAGCTTTGAGAATAATGGGAGCTAGCATAAATGTTGGTAAAAATGAAAATGTTTCTGAGTATTATCCTGTGCAAATGGCCCACTTTATCAATTTGTGTTACCTACCTTTCCCCTTTTGACCCCTGGTAAGTTGTGGGGGACTGCGAATGGAAGCAGACTGGCAAAAAGCAGGAAAGTTAGTCTGGATGTTATAAGGGTTGAAGTGGAAGTGGTATGATTAGACCTGCTGTATAGATAAGAAGGGCTACATTGTGTACTTTACATACATTGTCACATAACTCAGGTGTTTGTAGAGAGTGGATGGGAGGGAAAAGGCTGCAAGTTCAGAACAAGAGGAAGATGATATGAACTTACGACAAAAATCAGTCTTTTTAGTTCCATTGAAACTTTGATTACTTATAATTGCAAGAATAGTAATAGAGCTTACTTTTGAAATTCTCAGGTAAAAACTGATTAGTTAGATTAAATAAATAAAGCCATTGTCAGAGCTGAGGAAGGTATTTGATGTTCACAAGACAGATTCACTAGATTTTAAGACATTAAACTGGAGGGTTATAGTGTTCCCAGAAACTAAAATAAGTTCACCGTATACTTTTGTGAACAAGCCTACCAAAGGAAGAGGAGAAATTACAAATGGAAAGCTCAATGACATCTCTAGTCATGAGTCAGATTTGAAATGAGTTGGACCGAAAACTGAAAGGGAGAGGCAGCTACAAAAGAAACCTGGGTTATGGTATCAAAGATACTGCTGGGCCTTGCCTTTATGCATGTTGACATTGCAAGAGAATCCTGCTTTGTTTTCTGTGTATCCCTTTTTTTGGGTCTTTTTGCAACAAGGTCTCCTCAGCTAGCCTTGAACTCACAGAGATCCACCTGCCTCTGCCTCCAAGTGCTGGAACTAAGGGCATGCACCACCATGCCCAGCCTTCTGTGTATATCTTTAAATGCCTCTGAATTGTCAGAACTGTTACAGGTTGTACTGTCAGTTATTTGAGCTAGTTACAAAGATAGAGATCCTAAATATTTGATTTGGTAGTCTTAAAATTTTTAATAGTTTCGTTAGGAAGAAGCCTAGGCTGGGAAGGTCATTTTTTATATGAGTGTGTGTGTGTTTTTTCTGGTTTTGTTTTTTTTTATAATTTAAAAAAAATTTTATTTATTATTTTTACTTTTTTTTTTTTATGTAGGTAAGTGCACCTGTGTCGTACAATGCCCACAAAGGTCAGAAGAGGCTGTTGGATCCCTGGGGACTGGAGTTATGGACATTTGTTAGCTGTCATGTGGGTGCTGAGATTCGAACCTAGGTCTTTTGCAAGAACAACCAGTGTTCTTAACAA